GAGAAGGTGGAACTGGATGTAGGGTCACTGAGCCTGGCCTCTCCCTGATACAGGCAGCAGACCCTCCCCACATACCCTGGCTGTCCATCAAATCTCTCTACCTCCCAAAGGGCTAGGGAAGTCATCTCGGAGTCCAAGTTTCATCCTGCAGCCAGGCATGGCAATGCAGCACTGAAATCCTTGTACTCAAGAGGATCACAGGAGGGTTGCTGTGAGCTTGAGGCCAGCCTGGGCTACACAATGAGTTCAAGGCCAGCCTGAACTACACAGCAAGACCCTGTCTCATAAAAAAAAAGAAAAGAAAAAAGAAACTCCATCCTTTAGTTGATCAAGAACTTCGTACTTCCTCTAGGGGACACCTAAACTAGGGAAGGTGTCTCCCCTCCCACCCACTTCAGATCAAGGAGGAAAAATTGGTCATCCTTTCTTTGGGGTCCTGGGCTTACACAAATGCCATCTTCCAGACTCCAGCCACAGCATGATTCAGGCCATTTACTCAGATCCATGTTAATGAGTTTTTCCTGTCATCTAATTAGTTCACGGCCAACTCAACCTAGAGAGAGAAGAGACAGGAGCAGGCTGGGAAAAGGATAGAAGAAAGCAGACTAAGAGAATGTTACAACAAAGGGCAGGACTTAGCTCTAAATGGGGCTCTGGAATCTACCTCTAAAAGATCCAATACTCCTCCAGCTATGGGAACCTATAAAAGCAGAATGAGGGGGTTCAGATGCAGCTGCCCCCAGAGCCTCACTCAAGGAGGCACAGATGGGAATGCGGCTCTAACTGTAAGACCAAGTAGTGGACAGGTCCCGGCCCACAAACACATGTCATCAGCAACCACCCTTGGCTCTCCCGCATGATTGTGAAGGCCAATCCCACCACCTGCTGGTGGGCGTCCCCTTCAAACCGGTCCGAGGCAGGAGCAGATGGGCCCAGGGTGAGGCCCATCTGCCCAGCTAGTTGGAAGGTCACCACGCCACTGGGGTGCCTGTAGGCACAGCAGGCCCCACCACCACCACACCAGAGGTCTTGGGCATCTGCCAGCTGCCACTAGTCCAGGTCCCAAAAGTCCACAGAATAGAGCACTGTGCATAGCAGTGGCCTAGGGTTTCCAGTTGGGATGCCAGGCACAGCGTCCCTGGAGGTCAGTCGGCAGCAGCCCCGCGCATGCCTCAAGAGTGAGCAGGCGCGGATGCCCTGCGCTCGGGGACCTAGTACAGGGCCTTGGGGACCAGCGGACGCCTCCCACGCGGTCGCAGAGCCCCAGGCCCGGCCCGCGTCCCCCGCGGCATTGGGGGGTGTGCGTCGCGAGAGGGCGACGGCTGCCATCCATTAACACAGGCTCCAATCACCCGCCTCACCAAGGGGCAACAGATAAGAAGCCTCAGGAGCCTCGGCCCCACCTCCCGGCCCGCTGAGGCCCTCTGTCCCCAGCATCTCCACCCTCCCCAGCCATGCCTCAACAGATTTGGCCCCGGACCTCGGAACCTGTGCTACTTCCAGGACACCGGTCCCAGAAGCGACACCACCCTCACACCCTGGAGCACAACCCGCAGATAAGGTGTCCCCTGGCGCTGGACCAACCCCCCAGCCCCAAAGTGTCCCTGGACCACAAATGGCGAGGCCTGGATGCGGACTCTGCAGCGCACACCCGCAAA